ATATGCAGATTTAATCCAAAAACATATCTCTCAATTGCCTTGAGCAGGGTATATACAAATTTAATACCACCTTAATTTCTTTGTTAAGTTGGCCCAGAAAACAAAATGGGCACATAAATGAAAATGCAAGAAAAAAAAAATATTGTACAAAAATGTATTAAACTTAGAAAAGTGGAAAATTAAGGAAAGCTGTTCATCATTTTTGTCTCTTGAAAGTTATATAAAACAAATGCATGTCATTTGACCTATATTTTTCAATAACTGCTTCATTCAAGTATTTATTCATAATTCAGTCATTTAGGTGCAAAATCTAAAAAGAATTTTTAGCAGAGACAATCTTCAATTCTTGATTTTTAAAATTTTTTCTTACATAAAAAACAATTAAAATGTATTGTACCAACCATAAGCTAAAGTTTAATTCACAAAAATACCCCGCTCGAAAAGAATTTCATATCCAAATTTGTATCTTTAAATTATCAATATACAGTCAAACTTGAATAAGATGAAGAGAAACAGTTTTCATCACTTTATTTTAGAAAACAATAACTATTGTATCATTTAATACGAACATAAAGACTGATCACCGAAGTCAAGCATCACTGGCTGCGGTCAGTGTGCTTAGGGACCGAGGGTGTGCGATATGGGTCCTCGTTAAACTGTTCTACCGTAAAGTGCTCGACTTCACATGCAGGTCGTCGGGCTACCGAAGCAGGGTGCCATCCCCTCTGCAGAGGATCAAAATTGCGATGGCATGTCTTCGGATCATCCTCAGGGATGTTTCCCAGACCATCGCCAATAGCCCACTGTGTAGCTCTAGTGCGACGTAAATGAACAACAACAACAGCTTCCATTTTTGTCAAAGTAAATTTTGCATCTAATGAAAACAACTTCTTCATTGGGGTCACTTTCTTTATTCGAACATATTTATTGCTTTACCTGGACTTGACAAGTGAGGATAATTCACTTGTTCTTGAAACAGAGGTAGAGGTCACCAACAGAACACAAGAAGGGGCATGGACTATTGACAAGGGTGTGAGTGGCTGAGACTAGGTTGTGATTCTGGAGAAAGAGAAACGAATAGCATTTTTTCCCTGATGAAGGTGAAATTCCTTCATAAACATCATTCTTTAATGAGTATTTCATTTGGTGGTTTCTATTTCAGCAAGAAATGCCAATTGAGCTTTGAACAATTTGGAAAAAAGTGGAGTTTTTTAGAAACAAATGTAGAATACAAAATTTCATATAAAAGTCAATAAATATTTTTTAAATGTCTAACTTTAAAGAGATTAATGCATTTCTAAATTTTATTTTTTACTTTGCTATAGACATGATTTAAATTAAGAGACGAAAACATTTTTCACCAGGGGGTCACATTGATATATATGACAGGGCACACAACTGCTAAATAATGCAGTTAGTTATAGAAATTTAATGTAAGTCAATTTTAGTGTAGGTTACTAACTAAAGCCTCAATATCATGTGGTTAGGTCAAATAGCAGTAATTTTCAAAGTATCCACCAAATGCTGACCTGTCAAATATGTTTTTGATTTTTTGTTCTTATTCTGTACAGGTATTTAATTATTTCTGTCTTAAATCACTAAACATGTTAAATCATTAATTATATATAAGTACCAGTCATTTATTTTACGCCACTAGTTATCATCTGATATAAATGTCATTCAAAGACCCATTTCACTTTATGAAACTATTATTTTAGATGAAATGAAATGCTTCTGTGGGCTACTCTAAATATCATTGTAACAACACATGTTTAAGGTCTCTATTTTATATTTCTTGACATTTTTGTTTTAATGTTTTGGAATCAAAATAATCTTAAGTAATTTTTGCTGTTTTATTGGTCAACACAAATTTTGGTTATTAAAAATTTTTTTGCTGCACTTTGTCTTAATGGGATTTGAACTGTAATGTCCAGTATCCCTAATTTTTGTCAAAGAGAAATTACCGTAACAAAATAATTTTGAATTCCCATAACTTTTTTTGGCACAGATCCTTAATGTCATCCTTAATCATCCTTAAATGAGTTAACTCTTTATAATAAGTGCAATATATTAAATTTATTGCTAACTCCTAACTGAGAAGAACCACTCAAGTGAATTTATCTGCAAATTTACTAAAACGGGTAATAAATCAAACGTTTTTGTACAATTTAACAGTGAGGCCAAATTTTTTGTCTTCCAATAAGCATCGATTTTTCATTTAAATAAGGGCCAATTTAAAAAAAAGTTGGTTCTGCTTTTCTGGAACCAAAAAGCAAACAAAATGACTAAGGAGGATTTAGTTTATGAGTAGGTAGAAGATAATAATATTGAAACTAGGGTAGCATATCCTATTTTTTGAAGATTGATTCAAATAGCAAGGTAATATTGGGGAAGAAGCAGACTAGAGATGTCTACCCCCTCCCCAAAAGTACACCTAAACAAACCATACTTAAATTAGGGATGTAACAAATATTCGGCCAAATATTTGGCAAAGTATTTTTTGAAAAAATATTTTTTGGCAGTTTTTTTTAATTTTGATTAGATTGAATAAAGAATAATCTAAAATAGTATTTTTAACTATACATCATTACAGATGGTTTTTATACAAATTTTTAAGATCTAAAACTTGCACTTGGCTTGCAAATTTATGTCCTGGAAGACAAATGGAAAAGCGAAATTTGAAGAATTAAAACGAGATTACTTTATACTGAATCACAAGTTTTGTACTAACAATTTTTTTAAAAATTTATATTCAGGGGCAGGTCAATTTCCTCATTTTTCGACACTTTTTATTTTTATCTAATCTGAGAACATTTTTACTTTTTGTTTCGTTTTCGCTTTTTTTATATTTTATTATAGCATAGAATTTTAATGAAGTGTTTCTGATAGATTTAATTCTTTTAGATTAACTTTCTTTCTGGTACAGTTATAGATAAGTGCTAACATAGAAATTTGTGATTTTCAAAGCTAAAGTTACGTTTTAAGAATTAAAAAATTTTTTTTTTCTCTTTTGATTATTCTTTTATTGCCCCTTTTTTCTACCAAAAAAAAAAAAAAAAAAAAAAAAAAAAAAAAAAAAANAAAAAAAAAAAAAAAAAAAACGGCATTGAAAAAGTTAAATTGGGAATTTTAGTGCTAAATTTTTCTTTTAAAAATTAAAAAAAAATTTTGTTTCGTTTTTTATCTAGCTTTTACTTTAAAAAAAAACTTTTGTTTCTATTGACATTTTTATTACGACATGGTAATTAAGTGGGTTCTTATTAAACTTGGTAAATTTTTATTGTTTGATAATAGGGTAATTGAAAAACTGAGAGTTGGTCAGCTTTACAATTTCTATTGAAATTTAAGATTGATTTTCATGATAGTGTAGCATTATTTCTCATAGAATATATTTCTTTTAGCGTTTTATGGATACTTTTTTTTCGGAAAATATTATTTTTAGCAATTAAGTTTAAGAGATTCTTTTCTATTTCTCTTTTCTTTTACAACTTTCGTTTTTTTTAAATCTTTTCTATTTCTCTTTTCTTTTACAACTTTCGTTTTTTTTATCTGTTAGTCAGCTTTTTCCTTTTAGCCCATACTAATAATATAGCTAAGTTTTGATCATTTTTCACTCATGAATTAACTTATTTAGACATAAAAAATAAAATTTGTTAATGATTCTTTTAAAAACATTTTGCTATTCAGGTACCGAATATTTGGTAATTGGCTTGTTTTCTTTTTTTTTTTTTGGCCGAATCACTATTTGTTACATCTCTATTTAAATTTTCTTTTAAGAACAGATAAAAAAGGAGTTGGTTTGCAAATCCTTTTTTTTTTCCTCAAATTACTCTTTCCTTTTTTAAGCTAATAATCTTGATTACTTTTTAAAAAGCTGTTGACCAAAGAATTTGAATATATTTTTGAAATTTCACTATATGGAAATGTATTAAATTTTAAAGAATAAAAAATATTTTAGCATAAGAGAAGTAGAACACATTATGCTCTTTGATATTTTACCAAAATTTTTTAAACTCAATATCACATAATATTCACTTTATTAGAAAATACTATAATTTACAATCCATAATTAATGATGTACCGGTGAATGAATAAGACATTTAGTTAATTAAACATCTTTAATTGTTTCTTCTAGTTCTGATTCACTCTTTAAATGTCTATCAACTTTAAGCTTTTTGGCTTATCTGAGATTGAAACTGTTTCTCAGTTTGGACCAGACAAGCCCACGTGTAGAAAACATGCGTTCAATAGCTGCCGAGCTAGCTGATTTATGTTTTGTGTTACTTATTTAATTGCAAGTGTGACTGATAAGTAAATATTAGAGGCCATCTTATGTTTTTTTCTACTGATAATAGCCTAAACTAAAATGTAAAGAATGAAAAAAAGAAGATCCACTAAGATGAAAAGAGAATTTGGCATTTTTCTAATAGGATTGCTTTTTACATAGTTATCAGCAAAAAATATTTTAAAATATCTATATGACAGAGTTCAAATAAAATTAAATTAATTTACTGAAATTAAGAAAATATTTTTGGCTAGTTCAAATCGAAAAAAAATTATATAAACTGTCTAATGATATTATTTGTTTGCCAGCTTTTTAAAATAAATTTTATGTTTAACATATTTTTCAATATTTATGGTACATGCTGTTATAGAGTTAGCAATAAAATTATTTCATTATCTTTAAGATATACTAAATATTTGCCCCATCTCCCCCCTTTAAAAAATAACACACAATAAAGCCTCCCCTCCCCCCAAAAAAATCCATCTGGATTAGTTTTTTTTTTTTTTTTTTTTTTTTTAAGGCCTTAGAATTGTAGAAAGACATATCTATTTTACAGATACTACAACACTGATATGAGTTACTTTTCTTAATTGCTTTCGCAACTGAAAATTGCAACTCAAACTTCTTTCAACAAAATGAATATTTCAATTCCCTTCCAATCCTACATGTTGCCCAATTAAATAGATATCTTATTCACTTATTGAAGATTTCTCTCTTTTTATACATATTTATCACTGCAAAACAAAAGAAAATTGGGAAAACAACAGATTATCTTGAGTTCATTATACCAGCTAAGACAACTCCATGTAGTTTATCATTTGCTAAAATATATTTAAAAAGAAAATATTTATCAGATTCCATCAGGAGTAATTACACGAAATACATTATTAAAAAAAGGGAGGCAATTAATATGGACTAAAATGAAGTACCTAGAGCAATATTTGAAAAAGGGAAAAGAAATTTGTTTCTTTAATCTTTATTAAAAAGGTATTAACTAAAGGAACAGGAAGGAATTAAATACTAGATGATTTTTAATGAATAAGAAGAATATTCAAAACGCAATTATAGCATTCAAACGCAAATTTGAGAAGTAGAATTTAAGAGACAAGAAAGAAAAGTAGAATTAAGAGATTATTTAACTGTGACCAATAAATGGATTAAAACTTTTAAGGTGACATTCGAATGTTTTTTTAAAAACAAATATGGCAGATAAATGTTATGTTTTTTATGCTTAATCATGCATAATTATTGCTATCATTCTGATTTCATGCCACTTAAAATGAGTAAGGTCAATACTTTTGTAAAAAAATATTTATAACACAATTATATTATTTAGGATATTTCTTTGATTTGCAATTCTGAATATTAAAACATGATTATCATATCACAAATGCTCAGTTACAAGCAGTAAGTTATACTTTATCAATGGTTACTACACTGGTTTCCAAATAAGAATATCACAGGAGTCTTAAATGCTTTATCTTTTGTGCCTAACATTTTCAATTGAACTCATTTAAGTTTTGCCAAATAAACTAAAATAATTTTCTTTTTTGAGTTTCTATTGATATAAGAAAACAACTACTCAGAACTCAACATTGATTTTAAATATATTGGACAATTTTTTTTTTTTTAAAACATGGAATGGAAGAAAAACCAAAACAAACACATATTGCAAGATTGTGCGAGTCTATAAATGTTGCCTTCTCTGCCAAAATAAAGTATGCTTTCAAGTTCTTAAAATTTTCTAAAAAAAAAAACATAATGCCTTTTTTACATTTTTTATGCATTTTACTGGAACATTTGTTAAGTTTTTAGAGCAGTAAGACCAATAAAATACTTAAGAGATTGTTTACTTGAGTATAAGAATAAGAGTTAGTTAAAAACATAATTTTTTTTATAAATAACCTTATCATATGCTCAAACATAATATAAATATTTTAAACAATTTTTTTTCTAAATTTGCAGAAAGTTACTAATTTCAAAGATATTTTTTCATTGTTAGACATCTACCAAACTTTTTCAACTCAATCAAAGCTAGGTGTATAAGGGAATAATGAAGATTTCTCTAGTTTCTTTTCTTCTCCAATCTATTTTCACAAATAGTAATTGAAGATGCACTTTCTGTAATAATAAATATTTATTTTGGTTTTCACAAACATTCTTTAAATTTTTGCCTGATGTAACATGTTATGTATATCTTTATAATTGTTGTAGAGCACCCTTTACAAGTTTTTTAAAAAGTCTTTAAAGAAAAATAAAAACAAAATAACAAGAAAAAATTAAAATCAATAAATAATATTTAAAGCAGAAATTTCTTATCATTCTTAATATACAGTTTTAGTATCTTAAAATATGTATCAGGTTTCTTTTGTTCAATATAATTTAATAGATAAGAAACTTATGATGAAATTAAAAAAAAGTTAAGTACTTCTGCAACAGTCAGTTTTGGCTAAGGGGTTAACGACTAAACAATTTTGTGACCAATGGCATAATGGTAGCAAGTATTCTAAATCAGTTGTCTATGTTTTTCAGATCAATCAATCTGAGCCCCCACCTAGTCCTTACCTTAACCACTATGCTATTATAACTCAAAACATAACCTTCTTCAAATTTTGATTTTTACTTTTAAATTTATGAAGCTACTAAATATGAAGTTGCAAACATATTTTCCCTCAAATGATTTTCAATTTAGTAGAATTCTTTTAAAAAAAATTTTTCTTCAAAATTTTAGTAATTTAATTTGTAGGATAAAATCTTTTTGTTATACACTACACTTACAATAAAAAGTTTAAATATGCTTTTTTGAATAAATCATAAGTTTTTTTCCAAATAGTTTTCTATAGTTGATGTGTCAGCTCTTCAAAAACATAGAAATGAAAATAAGCAAGTGTATATATAAGTGTATATACTTAGTATTGAGTAAAACACACCTATAAGTAACTTATAATTGGTGCCCTACAGAATATTTACATGTTTTATTTTTCTAAGCTTAAATTTTTAAAGAGCTGTCTTTAACCCTCTAACTGCATAATTCTTAAATAGAAATTGTGTTTATTGTAAATCAAATTTTTAAAAACTTTGAACATTTTATAAGAATTTAAATGTAATAAAAATGCGTAATATATTGATCAAATATTAGAAAAATAAATCGTTGAAAATAGATGACATTTTGGCCAGAAATGTATAGAAATCTTGGGATTATGCAATCAGAGGGTCAACTCTGAATTACAATGGAAGGCTCTAGATCAGCATTTTTTTGCCACATTTTTTTCTTCTTTTTGCTATGAAACTTTTTATGCTAAAGAAAAGTTAATCAAAACATTAAATGTTTATCTTTTCAGTAAGCATTTTTCAACATGACAAAACATATGTAAGCACCTAATTTTTTTGAAAGGAATGTATGAGACTACTCCCCATAATCATCAATGCATGTCCGCCCAAAGCGACAGGCAAGTTTAGGTAATGCACGAGAAACAGCTACCACCACCCTGAAATTCGAAGCTGTTAAGTTAGTAACTACTCACATTGAATATCATCAAACAATCCTAACATCTTTAGAACAAATATTGGAACATATTCAAATCATCAAAATTATTATAGTGCATTGAATTTGTACATTACTTTGTATCAAGACACCTTTTTTTGTAGTTGTGATAAGCGCAAGCTTTAGTAAAATTATTTTCAAGAAATTTATCCACAATATATGCAATTTGTACGCGATTTACAAAAAGAAATCCTGTTTTTAAATGTTAGGGAGCATCATTGAATGCAGTAGAAAAGAAACAAAACTTCACACAAACAATGTTGCCAACTGAAAATTATAAAAGCACATCAGAAAATATCACGAGATTGAAGCAAATCAATTACAGTAATTCTAAAAAAATAGCATTGCAAACTGAGGTGTGGGAAAAAAAAACAGTTTTTGGTGAGGTGGTGATTACTGAAAGCAAAGCAGGTATGTGATGCAGACTGCCCACAGTTAAGACGTTTTCTATCTACGACTTGAGTTGGTGATTATGGGGGTAAATCTGAACCTTATGAATTACACATCTTGTTGGTAATAATTCGACATGTAGGACAAAGTTCCTACATTTGTTTTTAATACTTTGGTAGAAAGTGCATTTAAAAGACCAGATGGTAAAAATATTTATCTTTATGTACATTAAACAGGACTTAAATTATTTAAATATTTCCATGCACATTTCCACACTAGTTGAATTTTTAAAAAGTTTAAAACTCCAGAATAAATTAAATATTTTATACACATCCTTTTGGTAATCTTAACACATAGACTTAAGAAATACTTATTAGATATATACTTTAAGTCCTGTTTAAGAACATTAACAGCAATCGTATGGCAAAATATTCATACAATTTAAATATCTCATTAATATTTTTGTTGCCTTATTTGATCAGTAAATATAACAAGATTTCAACAACCTTTCCCAGTCAACTATAGATCATGAGATATATGTGTGGTCCACTGACCTTCCTTTATAATAAAACTATCTGGACACAGTCTATTGTGCTAATCAGCGGAGGAGGACGAGGAACCTGGCAGTGTTAGATGGTCATTTGTTCATCCAGTGGATGTCGTTTGGTGCTTATGACTACACCACCATCACTAGTCAGGCTCTGGATACTGCTATGGTCATCGGTATCACTTTGGTTACTATTATAACCCATTATATCAACTTCATCTGTTTAAAAGAAAGTTAATTTAAATTATACAATAAACTAATACATATTTTGTGTATGTCTAGTGATGGGATACAAATAATTCAAGGACAGGTGCAGTTTAAAGAAATGTTCCATAAGCTATAAAGATAGACCAAATTATAAATAAATATAACTATAAAAAATATGAGAAACTATAAACTAATAGACCAACGTACATAAAAACATACAAATTAATTTTTCTTAATAGAAGGAGAGAATGAAAATAATTTTGAGTATCAAATTATGTTACTAATTCTTCTTTATGCAAAAATTTAATTAGCCTCAGAAGCCTAATTACAGTGGTTTAAATTACACCTCCACAGATGTAGGGAAAGCGATCAAGTTCTACGCTTTTTCTGCTGGATTCCACACTTACAGGCTTGTACACTTTTATTTAATCGATAACGATTTAAAGATGACATCACCTCATAATATGCCTCAGCTGCCATGGAATTTTTAAATTTTCCTACGGAACAGGCATCATACAACTGCAGCTACATTCTATGCATCGAATTATAACGTCATGTGCAGACGAGGTTGCTTGGGTCTTCTACGCTCGTTATAAATGTATATAAATTAACATGTTACTACACTAAGCTCTTACTGTTTACTTCTCACAAACCGTTAGTCAGTCCCTATCCGTGTTGCAAGCATGTGTAAATATCTGGTTCATAATGTTTGTTTAAATTTAATGTATAACTTTTGTAAGCTACATTTCAAGTCTTTAATGTTTTATTTTTTTAGGATGTTTCTCTGCTTGTTACAAACAACCACGCTTTGCTACCATCAGCTAATGCTTGAAGGCTTATGAATACGAATTCCCCGTACAAATATTTGGTTCTCTCAGATTTATTTTTCAATAGCAGACCCTGCGATGTGGGACACACACGATTTGAGAGTGCACCTTCAGAAAAAATATAACTATAAGTTGAAATAAAAATATTTAGCTATTTTGAATAATTATTTTCTTTTAATTCAGTGTTACTCACAGGCTTTCTGAATGAAATTTCCATTAATACGCCACATGATGAATAATTGATATCGTACACACCGTTTTTCTCTTCTGTGTACATGCTGCATATTATTTGTCAGTGTACACCTCCATTTCAGCTATAGTCAAGCTCAGGGTTCATACAAAGATCAGAAGAAATCCACGGAGTATCCAAGGAGTCCAAAATTTTAAGGACTTATCAAAAATTTAAAAACTTTGTGTAAAAGATAGGTTTTTTTTAAAAATTAAAAAGCAGTTATTATAAGGAACTTGCAAAAATGTATATTTTGAATTTAATTTCTAACCCTTTTGAAATAAATTTTGACTTTGTCAAACTTCGTCAAGAAAAATAAATTAAGTTATCATTTTAACACATAAATACATTTTCCAATTTCATATATTTTAATAAATCTTGTTAAAGTACAGATGTTAAGGATTGACATAAAAACATACCAATCTTATATTTTTAAATTTGAATACATAAGAAAATCTAAGGCATTTTATACAAAAAACAAAAAAAAATCACAGCAAATTAATTAAGTTTGCTTGTAACATGTAAAATTATTTGCTGTTATTTTTCTTCCTCTAACTCTTGCAATTCAATTTTTATTCTTTTAAAAGTTTTCTTAAACTGCTAGATTTTGACAGCTAAGTCATATCCAGTGGTGCAAGTGACTAAACATGGCTTAGGAGCAACAAAAAGCAATTTTGGAGCAGCGAAACGAAGATTTGGAACATATGTAATAAAAAGAATTAAAACAAGAATTTTCAATTTCGCTCATTAATAACATGTCTTATATTTTTCCTTTTTATGAAGGTCCCTGCATTAAAAAATTAAGTTTCTATTTGGTACCTTCCAATGCTGTTAAATATTCTGCTATCCTTGACTTTTCCTCAGATAAGAGGATTTGTTCGCTTTCCATAATCGACATGTCTTTATTATTTAACCCATCTTTAATATTTTTTTCAGCTGTGGCTATAAGATCCTGAGAAGCCTTCAATTTTTTTTACAAATAAATTTCAGCAGCTTTCAATCTGCATTCCTCAGTTTTAGTGTTTTCACATTCCTTTCACTTTCTTTTTTCTCAACCTCTAATCGAGCAGAATAATTTTTAAATGCTGCACGAGCCACTGTAATCATATCTTTGTCAACTTTAAAGTTATTTAAACCCCCTATTTTGTTGATATGTGACATAACTTGTCTCAAACCATTAATACTATGTGAATTTAAACTTGCCCTATTGTCAAGTAGCTTTTTGTTCACACTAAAACTTCTTTCAACATCTGCATTCCCATGTGGTATGCACAAAAGAGATTTAAAAAGCTTTGCTAAAAGAGGATATTTGATATTTCTCAAATTTTCTTTCTTCACAGAATAGTTTTTCCAAAACATATCAATTGGTGCATATTCATTTCAGTCAGAAGAATAAATTTCTGGTTTTCTATGTAACCTCGTCCATTCATCTAGTAACAAAGATGCCTTAATAGAAGGGTCTTCCATTCTCATTACAGGATGTAACACTTTAAGATGCAACAGTAACCTATTTTCAAGAGGCAATGCTTTTAATAACTTTTTTGCACATGCCATAGACCTGACACCTAAATACATAAATTTTTTTTCTGAAGATAAGGATGTCATCACATTTGTGGTATCTAGTCCAATATCTATTAAATTTGAATTTTGCCAAATATCTGCGTTTTCTACATACAATGATTTTAAGTCCTTTCCTGACAAACTAAGAAAAGCAGAACTCTTTAAAAAACGCCCTAACAATGCCTTAACTAAAGACACCATTTCATCATACAGCAAGTGAATCAATGGTGTCTCAGTTTGGAAAAGACCTAAAAATTAATTTAATATAGCCAAAATATTTCTTTAAAAAAAAAAGAAGAGATTTTTGCAAAAGCAATTTAAATAAATTCAATATTGCGTGGCTCATACTATTTTCTAAATTAATAATTACTTTATTTAATTCTGTAAAAGGTAATTCAAAACTCTAATTAATTTAACTATTATTTAAGGTTATCGAGTGTAATTTTCTTAAAATTTAAATAAATGTTATTTGTAATAGTATATTCAACAAAACATTAACAAGATTAATATTGATCATACCGAATTTATAAAAATATGTAAAGAATTAAGCAAACTTTAATAAATTTATATTACTAATGTTAATTAGTGAATGGTACCTAAATTTTTTTAATTAAAATTGATTACCTAGTACAGTATTCCATTAATGAAATAATTAAAAAAATTAAATAATTTTAAAATGCACATACAATGAGTATTGAAGCTAAAAAATTTTTGTCAGAAGTAAATTATTATATTGTCCCTACACTCATAATATTTCACAAATCTGTGATAATTAAAATTTTTTATATCAATTGTTTTAAATCAATTAAAAATTTTTATATCAATTGTTTTAAATCAAAGATCATTTTTAAATCATTAAGAGATAAATTAAAGTATTTTTGAATGACAAATCTGAAAAACATAAGATTTTTTGCTGCATTTAAAATTTTGAAAGCCCCTCTCTTCATGCTTGCCTCTAAATATTATTAAGTTTTTTCCTTGAACAAGTTAAGAGCACCGAAAATTTTGAAAGTAATAATTGAATAATAAAATGCATTAAGTAAAAAACAGAAAAATATTATTTAAAAAAAAATCAATTAAGTAAAATCAATGTTTATATACAATATGTAATTAGTGGATGGTCCCTCAGATAAAATTATTATGTTTAAGAAACTCAATTAATTTTTATCTTTATTAAATTAAATGAATAAAGGTTAGATGGAAATTTTGAGGTTATGAAGCTTTGTGATTCTTGACTGCTCTGAGGATCAACATGAAAATATGTACTTAGTGAATGGTCCCTCAAATTAATTCAAAGATCATGGTACTAATCTATAAATAGAATAGCGCAAGAAAGCCATTAGGCTGCCATTGACGAAGTTGATAGCACTTCAATAACTATGAAATTAACAAGAGAAATAAAATTTTCTCTTGTTAATAAAATTTGGCAATGTTTAGTTGGTCCCCGAAAGTTCGAGAGAAGTTTCGGTTCCATTTCAGAGAGTGGAAAATGAAGCCTGAAATTGAGAATATCTTGCAAAATAAATCAGAGTTGCATATGAAAGTGCAAGAATCCTTCCCACTGAATCCAGAGCAACCCACATGGCAGTAGCTTGGTTGCCACAAAATTGTGCCTTCATGATACCCAGGGAAAAATATCCTTTTTGGAGCAATTTAAGCCAACTACTTCAATTTGGAGCATGTTTCCACAATTGGAGCGGATCGGCGCAGCACTTGCACCACTGCAAATCATTTAGTTTCCCAGCTTGGACAGTAAATTCATCAGCGGACTTAGTAAGTTCATCTATGCAAAGCAATAATCTAAGGAGTTTCTAAGGACTAATTTGGAAATCTAAGTAGTTCCAAGTACTCCTTGGAGACTTTTTTATTTCCAAGGAGTTTCTAAGGAGTATAAGGAGTCTGTACGCACCCTGCAAGCTGCTATGGTAACAAACTGGTTAATTTCATTACAGGGGAAGGTGATCAATCTGGCAACTTTGCTATTACTTCTAACTGCATGTTTGTCTCAAATGTTCAAATTCAAAAGATTTTTTTACACTTTAACCGATAGAAATCACTCATTAATTATTTAATTTTGATATTTTGAGAGTTTTTCATTAAAAATGAATAAAAAGAAACCATTGGGTGCAGAGTTTCTTAACTGAAAGAAAGAACAGGGTGTGTAGCCAAATCTTTCAACAAAAAATAAGCACCTTTTTACGCACTTTTTAAGCCCTCAAAGATATTTTTAAGCACTATATACATTAACAAAATGCAAAATAATTTTCAAAGACATTACATGATTATGATAAAATAACTAGTTTCTGACAAAGAACTCTTTTCTTCATTATATTAGCCATTATAAAAAGATCGAGAGATTTTTCGGTTTGATTTCAGAGGGTGGAAAATGAAGCCGGAAATTAAGAATATTTTGCAAAATGCAGCAGAGTTGCACAAGAGAGTGCAATAATGTCACCAAATCCAGCTTAGTCGATGCACACTCGAGGGAAAGGTTACAATGGAATAATCATTATGAAAGGTTGCAAGCAAGAATAAAAAAGAAATGTGATAATATGTACATTGCACAATCTGAATTTAGTTAAATATGATTCAGTAGGAAATATTACTGATATAGTTGTATTTAATAATTTACATCTACTTTAGTGAAAGTTTAGGCAGATGGGCCTTACTCTGGGAATGTTCTATGAAATGTATTGTAGAAAAACACTTCAGAAATCATGTTCTACTAGATGGTCTTCTAGATAAAATTGCTTAATAGCAATGAATGTTAACTTATGCAACATGCTGTTCGTCTTATATCATTCTATCATCAAATAAAGGTATAAAAATTGTAGAAGCAACTGCTTCACAGAAATAAATGTCTTCCTTTAAATTAACTTTGATGCTAGTATTTCAAAGCAAGATATTAGAAAACATTAATATAACTTCAAAAGCAGAAAATATCAATGATCAGCTTTCTTCTAGAGTAGAACACAACTTTTCAAAATTTTTTTATGACTTTTGATAGTTTAGTCAATGAAACAAAAGAGCTTGCAGATGTATGTATAATTGCCCAGTAAAAGACAAACAAAAGTTGAGTTTTATGTTGATAATTGATGTATTAATTGAACCAAATTCATAAGATTTCAGAATATGTCCTCAATCAACAATATGTCCAAGTTCTTCAGTGCCAAAGCTTTAATTGGGTACACAAATAAAGAGTAATTAGAATCAATTACTAAATTTTGTGAAAAGAATCAAGCTCAATTGCATCAGAAATTATTTGTTAATGAAACATTTTGTCAAGTGATATAAAAGAGAGAAACTTGACAAAAATTGAGGTAACTCATCTTCTGATGATTGAGAACAATGTTTTATCCTCTTTTCCTAGATATGCGTATCGCTTTTTTTTCTTCACATTTCTGACTTTGCCAGTAACATTAGCATCAGTTGAGAGATCATTTTACAAACTGAAGCTAATCCAGGGTGCATAGTCAGATTTTTCAACAAAACATAAGCACCTTTTAAGTACTTTTTAAGCACTCAAAAAATAATTGTAATCACTTTCGAAAAAAAAAAAAATCCTTATTAGGATCTGTACAATAATAAAAACTATTTTTTTCTATCGTTTAAAGTTCTTAATTTATAAACAAAAAATCAATCAAATTCAAAAACTTTAGATAATCATGATAAAATAACTAGTTCCTGATAAATATTGCAGAGAAAATTGTAAAAATCATGAATTTTGTGTAATTTAAAACGAAAATCGAAAAGGCAAAGAAAAAATCTCTTTTTTAAAAGATAAAAAATTAAGCAATTTTTACAAACCCCGTATAAAATAAGCACCTTTAAGGGCTTTTAAAAAACGTAAACCAAAAATAAGCACCTTTAAGCACTTTTTAAAAACGCTGCACATCCCGTAATCAAGACTTATTTAAGAAGTACGGTGAGCAAAAAAACCCAAAACAGAACACCATGAATAACTTTTGATTTAATTATTGGATTTTCATCCTTGAGATCTCAATCTTAATGTCTGGAGGGGGTGACCACAAATATGCTGATTAATAAGAGTGGACGAAGGTTATGAAATCAGACACAAACAGTGGCACATCTAGGATAGGGTTTTCAGGGTTAAAAATCCAAATGGATCTATTGATGGCATTTCCGACAGCTACTGCTACAGATTTTTGTTTTGTTTTTAAAATCTCAGTTCCTTTTTTGATATGATAATATTATGATATGTGAATTTCAAATCGCACAATAGAATTATCACTTTATGATGACAATGACTAGTCGTGACAATTTCATTACAAATGGCAACAAATATACAAATCTTTGGCTATAGTTACATTTCCAAGATAGTTAAGAAATAATTACAGGAGTGTTTTGCTAATTGAATGCTGTATTTGCAAAAAATCAGATTTTCCATCAAATTTTTTGATCAAGATAAAACACTTAATGTGATATAACAACATTTGAGATTGACAAAACGTGGAGAGAAAAATTAATACACAAATTTAGAAAATGCTGAAGAATTGGCAGCTATGAAAGTATAAACAAAGATGTCTAAAGTAAACAAAACCTTAAATTTTGATAAGTAACAGCAGTCAATTGTCACAATTTGAATTTGCTGATTGATGTAATATTACAGTATTATATAAAAGTTACCATTGAAAAAAAGTACAAACTGAGATAGTATTCTAAAGCTTAAAACTAATGAATGCTGGTTATAGGGCATTTGAAAATGTAGAAGCTGACATCTCTGATAAGGATAAACTGCTTAACCTGAGCAAAGCAGTACAAAAATTGGACACCTAAGGATTCGAAGAGATTAAATTGGACAATTACTAACAATTTTAGTTTCTTATAGTTAGTATTTATTAAATTATTAATAATTATATGTATTAGTACTAACTTTTTTAACAATTTTGACAAATTCTCTAAAATTGTAAACCAATATTACTTTCAAATAATAGGATAAGGTACGCAATAAAAGTGATGCTTAGCATCACAAAGTGCAAAAAACAGCACACTATGCTACACAGCAAGACTGATAATATCCCACTTTAAGAGGACTGGTTTACTCCTCATGTGGCCTGGAAGGTATCGACAAACTTATGACAGAAGATATTAATGAATTTTTTATAAAAACAAGTAACAGCTCATTTAGTTGCTATTAAAGTCTAGCATCATTCACAATTTGCTAAGAAGAATAGAAATGTGTTTAAAAAAATAATTATTATTGTTTTCTGTACATTGTTAAATTATTGGGAGAAAAAATTAACTATCGATTACAACTGATCATTTAAACAAAATCAAATTAATAAATTAGCTAGAATTGTAAATTTTACCAGTATCTGAAGCAGATGAATTGGTGCATAAGGAAGTCCCAGAGCTGCATTCGCTAATTTGTCTTTTTTTGTGCGTTGTTATAACATTAAAGCGACCCAGCTCATTTAAGCGTCGTCTCAATCTTCTTTGTTGTTCCAGAAGAAGCTCTTTTTGTTCTTTGTTTTTTCTATCTTTTTCCTCTAGGGTCTAATTTTTAAAAATAAATTATAAATTATAATAGAAATTATAAAATGACAAATCATTACAAAGTTCAACTATTGTAAAGATGAGATTCAAGCATAAAGAAACAGCTTATTTGCCAGGAGCACCATCATACACAAATATAGTACAAATAGAGTAGAATAAAGTTCAAAAGTTGGAAAGATATAATTAAAGCAGATATTAAAATCAATTATGAGAAAAAATATATCATTATATATTAGTCAATAGCATAGCTTCAGCTTCTGTCTGTCACAAAAGATAGTCAAATGTTTTGAAAGGTTTTTGACAAAGAATTAAAACTGCAGGAGTAGGTTTAAAAACTATATAATAGTAAAAAAAGCATATACAGTCTTAAATATTTGAGTAAAAAATCAAATTCATATTCCCATTTTCTTATAATGGTCAAAATGGTTGTTTTAAGTGGGTAAAAAATTCGGCCATTCTAGTGTTAAAGAGTAAAAAAACAATATTAAAAAATTAATGATTTCCTAATGTTAAACAAATATTCTACCGCAGTAAGGTCATTCACAATAGAGTTTTTGATGATGTAGTAACTCTCCCGAAAAGCTAGTCAACTACTGAAATATACTTATGGTTGATATGAGGTGAAGAAAAAATTGTACCAATCGATGGCACCAGAATCCAACCAGCAAAGTTTCACTATGAATAAATGGTGGAGTCCTTGGTTGTTGACATAGCCTTTGTGTTCAGTCGATGTTTGAGTGCTAATTTATTTGTGCTATATACGATAGTCCACATTTTCATGAAATGTTGCATATTCCCCAGTTGTTAATACATGCAATTGGTTGCTTGAAGTTTGAGAAAATGATTTTGTTATTTGTAAAAAGGAAGCACTACTAAATTATTTGTTTCAAGTTTGACATATTCATATTAAAGATTATGAGCACATTTGGACATCTTCTCAAAAATATTGTTGATTATCTCGAGAAGGAAAATTTTTATCTTGGACAATAGAGGTTTCACCTAAGATAGAGAGAAGATATTTAGAACATGTTAAATACTTTGTGGCAATATTTTCACCTTTCCTCTAGCACTGACTTCCACACTTCAAAAACTTGTACTAAACGAAAAGGATACTTTGGACTAGTTCCTTTAGTCTAAACGAGTCCTTTAGTTTTTAGAGCGCGCTAAACATCTGCTTCAAACGTTGCCATTCTCAGGAATTGCTTGTTGTTAATGACTCGTGACGTGAATTTGTGAGTGCTCAAACATGTCAACTTTTATCTTCCTGCCTTAGTTTCTGGGGATTATTCATTTAATTACACAGTACATTAAATTGAAATATTTAATGTGATATTAAAAATAGCTTTATGTAAGATAATGGTTATGGCTCCTCAATTAAAAAAAAACATAATATATAATTCATCAAACTTTCTAAAAATTTCAAAGCAGTACATTTTTATTTATTTATTCATTCTTTGACTGTAGCTCTGAAAAACATTTATAGGACGTTAAACAACTTCATTTACAATTGAACTTTCAAAAGTTGAATGAGACAATGGAATGACCTCTCTCTCCTGGAATTTAAGTTCAGAAGTTACAAAGTCAATTATTTACAAGTTAATGTCTTCACACTAGTCAAAGCTTATGGAAAATATATTTTTTATTTATCGATCCAAACTCTATTATAGATATGCTTTAGTGTAGCTAAAGGACATATTTTAATAGGGCTTATATTTTATCCTTTATTTTATTTTATAACTTAAATTACTCAAGTTATATGATTAAATGTATAAATAGTAAGTATGAGGGTAAACGTGGCTTTTAACTACTTTTCCGCATTTTTCCTGCCGCTCTAAACGAAATAAAAGAATAAGTTTAATTTCTAATGATTTTAATTGTTTCAAGCAATTAAATGTTACAACCAAACAGATTACAATTCTAGGGTTAATTAAATCATTGTCACATTTCAATTGAACATAAAAGGAACATGAGCATTCTTGTCTTTTTAGGGCAAAATAAAAGAACAATTTCTATTTATAATTTCTAAAAAAAGTATATTAAAATTATTTGCTAACATATTAATTACATCTATAAGATTTTTTTTTATTCAAAAATCTTTTATTTCAGCATTAAAGAAACTCTAAAATTAGCACGGTTTTGGAATCTTTTAATAATTTTCTATTTAGCATGTGCTCTTTAACAAAATAAGGCATATCGAGCATTTTATACAACAGACATAACAATATTTCCTTTGAATTGTGCTTAAAATGAGAAATAATATAAAAAAAATTTTAAGCAAATTTTTGCAATATTATCTTTTTTAAAAGGGCAACTTTCTTAAAGTTAGAGGGAGAGTTTGAACATCAAGATAAAATTGTAAATCCATAGTTTTTTGTTCATTTAAAAAACAAAGCAAACTGTTGTCTTCTTCGCTATGCCCATATACACATTTACTTTTCATTACTCAAATAAATAGGAAATATTAAAAAAGACAAACAATAATTTATCTTCATTTTTCAAAAAAATAGTATGCTTAGTAAACAGTCAGCTGTTTTGCACTGAATAATTTTGATTAGCAGAATATTTTTAATTTCTTTTAACAAGATTTAATTCTTAGCTAGCTGGCAATAATTCTAAGTATTCTTTTGATAAAAACTTGACAATAATTTAAAAAGGAATTTTACATTAAAGCAAAACCTAAATTAAAGAGCTAAAACAATTTATTAGTATATGAATGGTATAGAATAATATACCTGGTTGCGTAAAGAATAAGATTTTGAAAAAGGTTAAAATTTAATTACATAGTTGGTAAAAATAATTCTGCGAAACATACACGGACAGATAATTAAAAAATTTATTCTAAGATTGAGACTATATATAAGATGTTGAGAAATTTTAAGATGCTTAAAAATGTTGACTACGTATTCATTATAATAATTATAAAATATAAATTGAAGAAATAAATATATTGTTCTAAATCTATGTATATGTTTGTATACTATTAAAATTATATCACTTATTTAAAGAACAAACTAAAAGTAAAATTAAAAAAAGCTGATGCATAATCACATTCTATCAGAACCATGCTTTTAATAGATAACTCAACATTCTTTGAATAAATTTTATTCAATAAAATGTTCAAATTTCTTTATTAAATTGTGAATAGATTTTCAGACAACTAAAACAGAAAATTGTATTTTATAATTTAAAAAAAAAAGCATTAGTAATTGGTTATTAGCAAAAAAAATATGTATGAAATTTTACCCTACACACGTGTAAGTGAACTTTCTTGTAGGTTATCTACATTTAAATATTAATTGCTCCATCTAAATATTTCTTCATTGTCGGCAAATTATTTTCTTAAAAATAATTCATTGGAATTTTTCTCTGCTTCTACTAAGTAAAAACTGTTGAAACTTTAGATTTTGCAATACAAAAATACATAGAATAATATGGTATGAAAAAATTTATATATCAGAAGATTTTTCATCCATAATTAAATTAAATTAAATAAGAAAAAATTATTATTTGCTTGAAATTATCTTAGGATAAACAGGTTTTATGAGTGGGGGCCAAAATTTTTTTTTTCGAATTACTTAATTACTTTCAAAAATATGACTTAAAACTCAAATAGTGAAATTAACATTAAAGGGTCCAAACTTTGGATCGCTCTCCTGACCAAACTATGGGCACCATATTTCCCACATTGCGGCTACCTCCTATATTTAAAAGGTAAAGAAAGCAAGTACATAAAAAAAAGATATTTATTCAAAGAAAGTACGCTTTTGTGTCCGATTTTGTAATTTAATTAATAGTTAGCACCACATAATTAGCATATTTAAGGTCATCCTCAGGAACCATTAAGATTGACACTTAGGACAGGAAAATCCGATCATTAGAATAGAAGTTATTCAGGGTGATATATTTTTTTGTTTACTGTACATATGAATCTTATAATCTTGATTTAGATTATATGAACGCTGGCAGACTCATTTTGTGGTTTAAAATAAACAGCATAGACAGAGATGGAGTATTCCTTATTTTAATGCGACACCATATAAATATATATATATTTTCATTCCAGCATTAAGTTCAGTTATTTAGAAATTTTTTAGGAGAAAAAATAAAATTTTAAGTTGTTTATCATGTTTGAGTATAGAGGCAAAAATACAAATAAACTATATTAGTAATAATAATATTCTGACCTTAATAAATGCTTTGGCTTTGGTCAAGAGACCTAAGGTAGTATGTCGACTCGATTCTGGCCCAAGGGGAACAAGCTCCTTTAATTTTTCAAGACAATTTCTTAAGTGTGCTCGCCTATAAAACATAAATCATGATTCATTTTGAAAAAAAATCAAAATACACATTTCTAAACAGCTTAAAACTTTACCTGTTCTTCTCCAATTCATTATGAGTAGATCTAAAATGAATAAAAATTATGTAAGAAAATAATATTTATGTAGAGTAAAATTCAAAAATCTGCAAAGTTAGGGACTGGAAGCACATACTTAAAATTTAAATGTATAAGAATATAGATTAAGGAGGAACAGCACAGTAAAAGCCTGTAAAAAAAGATTTTTGAAAAATAAATTTTGCAGTGATTGTGCTTATAGGGCAGGAACTCCAAAATTGCCTCTAAAATTACGGGCAATTTAAGGACGCTTATTCTATAGTTCCTGCACTTAAGTTAAAAAACATTTAAAAAAATAAAAACTGAAATTCTTTTAAAAAGTTTCGCAACTTCTTTAATACAAAAAAAAAAGGAAAGAAAAGAAAATAGTCTAAATATGGATTATTGTTAAGTAGTAGCAAAATACAAGGATTCTCTTGTGAAAAACAGTAGAGTATGATCTAGTGTTGAGGAGGGAGTAGAAAGATAAGAACTTTTTATATACTTCTCCTGCTTTTATGTGCTATCAAATCAAGGGTAATTGTCTCTAGTACTGGAAGTAGATTAATATCATACTTGATACACTATAAAGACTTAATCATTCATTTTGTTATTTAGTTTGTTTTATGGCATATAACATAATTTTTGAATTTAAATTTCTTCAATTCTTTTTTCAATAAATAATATTTTTTCGTCCAGTTAACTTAAAAAATTTTTTTGTTGGAAAAATCACAAAAATTTTAGATCATATTACAAATAAAAAAATTAGGGCTTCTATAATACTATGCTTATAACTTATTTTTCAAAAAATATTCATAACTTGCTGTACTCATAAGTTTAAAAAAAAAATTATTCAAATTTAATTCCGTTTATTTCTTTAAACTATATGAATATAGTTTCCATTGCACGCAGGATTTTAAAAAATACTTTTTCATAAAATTACAGTGGTTTGAAAAAAAAAGTTCAAAAATTACAAAAACATTTTTGGGGATTACTCAAAACTATTCAACTCAATCCCTATGTGCAATGAAAACTATATCGATTATGTCAAGTCTGAAGTAAATCTATTGAAAATTGTACTACTTAAGTAGGCCACACAGTGAGAAGGCAAGCTGTAAGAAAGAGACATACACATGACAAATTCTTATATTTTTGTGTTAGGAATTGCAAAGGTGATGTGCGCATGCTAATGAAAAATAATGGGAATCAGACTCTCATAAGTCTTTTACTTATCGCTTGCCTCTTCAGTGTGATCAATAATCTATATAAATATATGAAATTTTACAACTAACTATTATGCATCAATACCAGGTCAATAAGATGCTTCTACATAATTTTCAGCTGTCTCAAGTGCTAGTCTATCCCTTTTTCTTGTCGATCTACTAAAGGGCAAAACTGAGAGATTTGTCTGGTGGCCACTTTTTGCAGTTGAAGTACCTTAATAATGATTTTGCTTCGAAATTTTTATTCAATACATTAATCATTTTTAGTTTAAAAAATGAAATTATATTATTATAAAAATACTATATATATATTATCATTATAACACATCATTTTAAAAAAAATATATAATGGGTTGGATTTTAATATATAATGGGTTGGATTTTAGACTTGTTTTTTTTTTTTCACAATCAATTTTTAAGTTCTATGTCAGAATGAAATATAATAACTAACTCTGGAAATTAAACCAAAAATATTAAGGTTAGAATTTCTGCAACTGTTGCTCTCAGCTTTATTTATTCTTTCATTGTTCATTCTTTTTTTTAAACTTTATGCATTTGATTTTAATATTTTTTTCTTCAGATAAATCTTATAATTCATTCATTGCTACGTTTTTTCTTTTCTAATTTTATTGTTAAGCTTTTTTTTTTGTTGGAAATATTACTTTTAAAGGGGTATTTAATATTTTGTCATTCCAATTCCTGTTTCATTGTCATTTGGTACAGGTGCGCCAAAGACAAATTACTGCATCTGCTTTTTTTAATCCCATTTAATCTTTCAGCAACAAAACAAAATCAAACATCAGCCTACTCTTTGAGGAGTTTCTTTTTGTCAATTATTAATTTTACTTTATGGCCTCGATAGAAAACAAAGTTAGCCATATCTGAAAAAAAAATCATTAAAGAATATTATATCAGCCCATAATCACGAAATGAATTTTCATTTAAATAAGACTAAAAAAAAGTTGAGTTTGAATTTTATTATATTGCCTGTTTAAAGATTTCTTATAAGAAATTCATTATCATATAACTTGTGAGACAGTTAAAAAAAAAAAAAACAGAAGTTATAAAAAATAACTGTTCTTTTACATGCATTATGCAGGTGCACATTTTCAGGAACTAAGGAATGGTGAGAATAGGATGGGGTGTCAAATGTCAAAATGAGGCCGTGGCAAATAAGGACGCTACAAATATTCAGCTACTATATGGAATTTAGCCCCTTTGCCGAATATTCGACCAAATATTTCATAAAGTATTTTTTCCTTCCTTTTTTGTTTGGATTTGAATAGGTTTAATATATAATAATCTAAAATGGTATTCCTCTCCCCCAATACATTAATAGAAATAGATTTTACACAAATTTGTTAAGTTCTAAAGTTTGCAAGTTAATGTTTTGAAAGACAAATGAAAAAAAAAAGAAAAAGAAATTTGAAGAATCGAAACTTGATTGCTTTATACTGAACCACGAATTATATACTTTTTTTAAAAATGTATTAAATGCAATTTAGTCAACAATTTAAAAGATTTTTGTTATGTAGGTTGAGAATATTTTTTGTTTTGTTTTAGCTGTTTTTATTATAATGTGGCATTTTATTACGGTGTTTCTGAGACTTCATTCCTTTATTGTCACTTTTTTCCTGTACATTAAGAACCGGTAACATAAAAAACTTTGATTTTCAATGTTAAAGTAATATTTTAAGAACTAAGAACAACTATTTTTTGTTTCTCTTTGGTTTCTTTTATTAACTTTTCATTTTATTATGAGTGGTTTTATTATGATACAGCATTTTTTTAAAGAATATTTGTAATGAATGTTATTTTGATTTGGCTTCTATCCAGCTTTGTATTTTTTAAATTTTTATTTTATTTTTATTATTGACGTTTTTATTAAGATGCAGCAATTAGAGGGTTTCTATTAGACTTAAGTGAGTTTCTATTTACTTTTTTCTTCACTCACTCTTGAAAATACAGAAATTGGAAAACTTATGAACTTACTACAGAAAAAATACTAATTTTTTTCGAAAATTAAGATCCATTATTATTTCACTTTTATACATAATTTTTTGCTTTGATGGGAGTTTTTCTGATAGCATGTAATTTTCAAAAGCGTTTCCAATAGAATATGTATATATATTTCCTCTGTTTCTTTTTTTCAATTTAACTTCATTTTTTTGCAGCTGTTAATTTTTTATTTATCTTAAATATTTCGAATGGATAAATATTATAGTTTTTTCCCCCTTTACCCTATACCAATAATATAGATCAGTTTTGATTAACTTTCATCAACAACTAAACTTATTTTTGTAAAATATTTAATAATGATTTTTTTAAAAAAATGTAGCCATTCGGGCGCTGAATATTCGACTATATCACTATTCGTTTCACCCCTAGTGGCAAATGATAGATTTCATTGGTGGCCACTATATTTCCTTTAGTCACCACATGGCAAAAAGCACCGACTACTCTTGCCCATTACAATTTACCCTTATGCCATATGTTTTTAGAATAGTGATCAAAATTCTGAGGTTTTCTTCATTTTGAGCACATTCTTTGGGTATGCACATTCTGGGCCTACATTTGTTTCTAATTGCACCAAAACTGTCAATAACTCTTTGCAACTCACGTTAAAAATTATTACAGCTAAATAAGTCACAATTTCAACTATTTATATTGAAAGTACCATAAATTTTTTCAAACGAAACTTTAACAAATTATTTCAAAGAATTCGTTAAGTTACTTTTTTGTTTCCCATTAAAGGGTTTTTTTATGTGAGAAAAAAATCTCTGAACACTTGCTGACTTGCTGTTCTTGACATTTTTTTAAACAATTTCTAAAGAATCATTAGTCTGACACTTTAGGTATATTGAGCATAAAATTATTTACATTTGTTAATAATGTCTAATGTTCTAGAACAGGACAAATGATAATTACAAATTTTCAGTGGGAATCGCTAAAAATAAACAACTCTCACTAGAAATAATTTTACATTTTTTTAAGCGATTAATTATTTCATTTCGCCAACTAAAATTGCAAAAAAATGGAACCTTGTTTAATTTAAAATCCAACCTGAATAACTTTTGATTTAATGATCCGATCGTCATGTTCTAGGACTCTATCTCAATGGCTTGAGAGGGTGACCTCAAATATGCTAATTACCAAGTGCAAACAATCAGACACAAAAACATGCTTTTTTTTAAACAGATTTCCGACCCCCTAAATATAGAGGTAGCCGCAATCTGGGAAATATGGTTCTAATACTTTGGAGCGCTCTCTTAACCTAACTAGTGTGGCTACCCTATATTTTGGGGGTCAAAAATCCGAATCTGCCAAAAAAAGGTATGTTAATTCAGTGAAAGTACACTTTTTTGTCTGATTTTGTAACTTAAAATTAAGGATGCAATGAATATTCAGCCTTTTTGCCAAACATTGGGTCGAATGTTCGGATAAATATTTTTTTAGGAGGAGTTCGAACAGATTTAATAAAGAATAATCTAAAAACGTATATTTAACTATACATTCTTTGAAATAGTTTTTACACATATTTGTTAAGTTCTAAAACTTGCTAATTTATGAACTAAAAGTCAAATAGAAAATTGAAACTAGATTACTTTATACTAAACCTTAAGTTTTGTACTGATTTAGTTTGGTATTTTAACTGAGCGTTTCTTATAATCTGAATTTTTTTATTGTCACGTTTTTCCTGTACGGTAAAATAAATAAACAAGTAAAAGTGTGATTATCAACGTTAATGTAACATTTCAGAACTAATAAAAAAAAATTTTATTTCACTTTTGCTTTTTTTAATTAACT